CTGTACGCAGCTCCAGATAGATAATATGTTGCTTTTTTTCCAGAAACTATGACGATCCATCATCCAGCGTGCTGCAAGATCATTACCTGGATTCAACATGGAGAACAGACATGGGACTTGTAAGTACGAACGGGAAATAAGCTGCTACTCATTCTGTGGCAAACATACTATATAAGGAACATTGACCCATTCCCACAGGGATGGTTTGAACATTAACATATTGAAGGGGAAAGGTTGAATAATGGTTATATATTTTTGTCTTAGCCATGGAGTCTTGATAACACAATTAGTGAAGAAAACAAGGCCGCCATTGAGAAGATGTTATTGGAAGAAGAGTATCCTTTTGCCATTCATCTTGACCAAAGAAAGAAATGGTATTCTGATGCAGGTTTCAAATTAATGTGCTATCATTATTACTGTTTAAAATAGTTTCCTGAAAATGCAGTTTAAACTGTCATGACAGTACGTTGAATGCCAAAGGCCTTATGCTTGTTTAACAAAGATAGTTGTGCTGTTTCTGTTCCTGAATCAAGTCCCTATTAATAAATATACCTTACATTAATCAAGTTCTAAATATCCATGTGAGTATGCCATATTGAACTAAACAGATATTTTTAATATATGTTTTTATTGCTGACACAGGTAGGATAATATCACAATCCATCACCATTTCCAAATACATATCAAATATTGTTTTCATAATGTTCTTATCCTTACCTATTCCACCTTTATCTCCCACTTGTGTCTATCGATTTTACACCCCTCTCCCCCTTCCCCCACCCTCTGGGAACAGTACTTGTCTTCATTCAAATATTATTTTAATTGAACAGTCGTGGAATGAGAATGGTTCCGCTTTTTATATCTTTCTTTTCCTTCGACTTTATCTATCAATCTTCCCCATTTCTAAACCCAGGTCTTCTTGATTCGGCATGATGTATGTTTTTTTTTTAATTAGTAATTTTTTATTGATTTATCACATTTATTACATACTATTACATTTTGTACATCAACCTCTTTAACATGTTGTTTTATTGTTTTGCTTTGACATTTCCCCCCCTTTTCTCTTTTTTTCCTTTTTATCACCTTGTTGTGGCCTTGGTTGTGGCTTCCTGTCTGCTGAGGTTAAATAGCTTGCCATTAGGCCTGGGCAATGCATGGTTCAAAATGGTTCTAAAGTACCTACAAAACTAAAGTTCTGGTGGTGAAAATATCAAAATTCTAACAAAACTCTCAACATTTCATTATAAATGGCAGTTCCTAATTGGTTCTGTCATAAAACCAATAATGAAATAATAATTAAATTTTGAAAGTTTTGTTAGAGTTCTGAAATTTTCACCACCAGAACTTTAGTTTTGTAAGTACTTTAGAACCATTTAGAATCATGGATTGCCCAAGCCTAATGTAGTCCTGAAGCATAAAGTCTGCTAGGTAACGGTTCCATTTTTTAATTTCCCACTTTCTGTGGTCTTTCCACCCCAAGGCCACAGTTGCTTGGGCGGCAACTGTCATGTATTTTATAATTTTCCCCCAAGCTTTGATGTTTTCGTTCTTGTCTAATTTTTGGGTGAAAAATTATTTTTTTATTCAAAATCAATTTATGCCTTATTAATTCTTTCATTTCCTTCTTTACTTTATTATACAAATCTTGTATTCTGTCGCATTCCCACCACATATGTATTTAGGAACCAATTTTTCCACATCTGTGCCAACGCATTTTTGTGGTTGTTTTAGTTATATGTGCTAATTTAATTGGGGTTCTGTACCATTTAGTCAGTATTTTCCTTTGTGTTTCTCTAATACTTATAGACTTGATATTTTTATTGTATTGATCCAGTGATCAATATCTGAATAATTGTTATTTAGACCCTCTTTCCATATTTCTATCAATGCTTGTTTCAAATTATATTGAATTCCAACTAATTTCTTGTATATGAACCCCATCAGGCCTTTCTCTTTTTCTAATTTCCACTTTAAAATTTGATCAAAATCTGTTTCTGGGCCTTCCTTTTTCCTCCACTTCATGATCCTTTGTTTCAATTCGTTTCAAAGCAGCCAGACCATATTTGTCCTTTATCGTCTCCCAATCCTTAATTGTCCCATCTGGGTTTAGGAGATCTTTCATCAATTCCATTTTGTTTCAAATTTATTATCTGGATTTTGATTCCTCCCTGCTACCCATGGGAGGAATTGCAAAGAAAGAGTTATTTCTTGCTATTTTCCAGACAGATTGTTCAGTGCTGGTGTCTTCCCTACCCCCTCCCCACCTTACTTAATTTAGAACAACACTATGTATCTCTTATCTCAGGCTCAAGGGCACTGTCCTCCCAGTATTATAACTCCCAATGTCTCAAATACAGTTATGTCCCCTTCCATACTTACAAGGTGAATACAAAGCTTAGACACACGAAATGAACAAATAATACCAAAATATAGCCCGTGTACCTGGTACAACTTTCTATAAAATGCTAAACCAAGGGGCACAAACAAAACTGTGAATACAGACCCAACCACTCCCCTAATCCTTATAATATAATATAATAATATTATATTAATATAATATAATATATATTATAATCCTTATAATTATTCACATTCTTCACTTTAAACACCCGTTACAGGGTGGCATAGAACTAAACAGATCTTACTACATAGAAGAGATTTGTAGGATTGCTATGCCAGGAAGTTTTTTGTATCTCTATGTAGAGTTTTATTTTCCCCTTGAGACTCAATAATAGAATACAGGCAGTCCCCAAGTTATGAACAAGATATGTTCTGTAGGTTTGTTCTTAAGTTGGAACAGGAACATTTTAAAGTGTAACTTCAGATATCTATATCTATCTAAATAAATAAAAATGTAATGTTCGTTTGTGGGATTAACATAACTCAAAAACCACTGGACAAATTGCTACCAAATTTGGCCACAAGACACCTACTAACCCAAGGAATGACCATCACTCAAAGAAATTTGATTTTGTCATTTGGGATTTGTAGTTGCTGGGATTTACAGTTCACCTACAATCAGAGAGCATTCTGAACCTCCACCAATGTAGAATTGGGCCAAACTTCCCATAACCAACAGAAAATACTGTATTTTCTAGTCTTTGGCAACCCTTCTGACACCCCCTTGTGACCTCCCCCCAGGTTTCCCGACCCCCCAGGTTAAGAAATGCTGCCTAAAGGCCATCCAGTCAACCTCCCTTCACCAGGGCAAGAAAACATAATCAAAGCCCTCCTGACAAAGAGCCATCCAGACATAGATATAGATATATATGATTCAAACATACAGCTATAGTATAGATTTGAAAGGGACCCCTAAAGAAGGACAATGATACGTTGCATGTTCCAGAGTAGGTAAACCAGACAATCTCTACATCAACACTGACCAAAAGACAACAAGAAGCACTGTTTACTTACAAACATCAAGAAATTACATACATTAGAAACCAACACTTTCTCATTACTTTATTTTCCAGCTCACCAGACTGGGCCGTAGCAACGCATGGCAGGGGACAGCTAGTGTGTGTGTGTATATACACACACACACACACACACATGCCTTATTCTATCCAAAGCTCTCACCCCTGAGGTGTTTGTTTTGCTATCTCTGGCCATCTTCAGGGGATTTCCGCTCATTTTCTGTCCCTGTGATCACTGGATTTTGGAAAAATTGGCTTGTTGTGGAAACAAGTATTGGCGAGAAAGCTTCAGTGGAGACCCCTTTCCCCCATTATAATAATTTTCCAAGACTGCATTTCTCTTCTGAGGGGTGGATTTCTCCTACTTCCTGTTGTCTCAGCCCTGTTCTTAACTAGGAGTCATTTGTAAGTCAGATGTTTGTAACTTGCGGACTGCTTGTATTAGGTATTTGAAATTTTTAGAAAATTAATGTTTAGAAATGGAACATTATACAATAACTTAGTGCTGTTTGAGGGCTGGAAGCCTTTTTTCCCCTTTGGAGAGCAGCTGTTTTGTATAATATGTTTTGTAAGTAGACACACAAATATGTTCTTTCCAAAGAATTGGGCTATATGTAGACGTACTTTAAATAGTGCCGCGACTCTGCTGGTACAGGTAATATCCACTAGATTATAACAGCAGAATTTAGGAGAAAAAAAACAATGAATAATGAAAACTTCTCTGAACAGAAAAAACCAATAATGATGCCTTAGAAGATCCTTAATACACCTCAGATACTATTTGTCGAGTAAATCGCTTCCAGAAAAACTTTGGCAGGAACTGAAGGAAAGTGACAAAAAGTGCACAAAAAGGTAATGGTTTATGGCAGGGAGGAAAATTGGCATTATATATTAATTTCAAGATGCGAAGAATTCTGTTAAAAGAATAAACATAACATGTATTGATTTTTGGTTTTTCTTCTGCTTTTTTTTTTACAGTCCACACAAGAAAGAGGCAAAACTCACGTAGGTCCTTCTAACATTACATCTGAGGGCAGAGTGGCCAAGCTATATTAAGTTAAAAGTTGAATATTGCTGATTTTTGTAAAAAGGAATACACCCTGCAGTAATGTTAAGAATTCATATGCATGCTTTTAAATCTACCTTGTAAAAAGGTAAAGGTTTCCCCTTGACATTAAGTCTAGTTGTGACTCTGGGTGGGTGGTGCTCATCTCAATTTCTAAGCCGAAGAGCCAACGTTGTCCATAGACACCTCCAAGGTCATGTGGCAGGCATGACTGCATGGAGAACCATTACGTTCCCGCTAAAGCGGTACCTATTGATCTACTCACGTTTGCATGTTTTCGAATTGCTAGTTTGGCAGAAGTTGGGGCTAACAGCAGGAGCTCACCCCACTCTCTGGATTCGCACCACTAACTTTCGATCAGCAAGTCCAGCAGTTCAGTGGTTTAACCCACTGTGCCACCAGGGCCCCTGAAATCTGCCTTGATTTTTTTTTTTAAAAAAAAAATGCAACAGAATTGGCTTTATTATTGTATGGCTTCAAATCATTTCTGATTTATGGCGACCCTAACGTGACCTTTTCTTTGCAATATTTTTTCAGAAGGGTTTCTTTTTTACATTTCTATTAGATTACGCTCTCCACCAAAGTCAGCCACTGGATCATTGAAGTGGACAACAGAAGAGAAAGAGCTTTTTGAACAAGGACTGGTAAGTACCATTTATGGGTTACTCACTGACTGGATTTAAAAGTAGTATTATATCTAACTCTTTCTATGGTATGTTTCGGGTCGAACCTATCTTTGAGACTAAATCTCCTTCTATGAACCAGTGTGGACCTTGAGAATTAACATTTGTTTTCCATCAGACTAAATTTGGCAGAAGATGGACGAAAATTTCCATGATGATTGGAAGTCGCAATGTTCTTCAAGTAAAGAGTTATGCCAGGCAGTACTTTAAGAACAAGGTAAGCTTTATAAAGATGACCAATGACAGGCTAGCGAACTAGCCATGTGGAATAAATCTGTGTTTAACTAGGGCTTGAGCTGGGCCAACATCTAAATGGTTATAAGCATGAAATAAAAGATTTAGTGATGTTTCCTGATTATTTTGGATGTCTTAAAGTAAAGAAATCCTATCTTTTGGTTAAACCCCTGTGCCGGCAGGACTGAAGACTGACAGGTCACAGGTTCGAATCTGGGGAGGCAGATGAGCTCCCTCTATCAGCTCCAGCTCCCTATGCAGGAACATGAGAGAAGCCTCCCACAAGGATGATAAAAACATCAAATCATACAGGCGTCCCCTGGGCAACATCCTTGCAGACGGCCAATTCTCTAACACCAGAAGCGACTTGCAGTTTCTCAAGTCGCTCCTGACACGACAAAAAAAAATCTTTTGGATGTGCCCCAAGCCTAAATCCACAGAACAGAATTTGCCTATGGGTGGAGACTCCATCCAACAATTGACTGAATGGATCTATTTTGGCTGAAATCAACCAATTCTTGTCTGGAATTCCTATTTTTTTAGTGTTGTTCTTTATTTACTGTTATGACTTTAGAGTTTTTTAATACTGGTCGCCAGATTGTGTTCATTTTCATGGTTTCCTCCTTTCAAGCAAAAGAAGCTTCTTCTTTCCTCTTGCGGAGCAAATTTCATGCACGAGGAAGGAGGAATTCCTCTATTTCCCTAAGGAGAATATTCTGCCAGTTTAGGGAGTTATATGGATGTCATACTTCATCTAATAATTAGTAGTATTGATATCAACCAGAAGCGACTTGCAGTTTCTCAAGTCACTCCTGACATGAGAAATAATAATAATAATAATAATAACAATAAAGGAGTCAACTGTCACTCTCGACTAATCTCTGTTCATTTGAATGTTATTTAATACTTAACTCTTCTCAATATCTCTAAGGCCAAGACTGATGGCCCAGAAAAAGTAGAGCAACGGGGACCGTATGTCAGCATTCCTGTACCGAGCAGCAACGAGGATGATGAAGGAAAGACGGTGGCGTGGGCAGCTACACTCTTAAGAGGCCGGGCAGATCCTAACTTGAATGCGGTGAAAATTGAAAAATTATCAGACGATGAAGAAGTTGATATTACAGATGAGATGGACGAGCTGCTTTCTCACATTCCTCAGCAAGAATCCGGGAAGTGTGAGTTGTTCGATACTCCAAAAAGTCCATCCACACAAAGCAACTGGACAGTGTCCGCTTTGGATTCTGAGGAACACACACCGACTGCCCTTCTCTTAACTGCGAAATGCAGTCCCAAGGCGGAGGAAAGCCCAGAGACTCCAGAGACTGTGGTGCTGTCTTCTGAGAACAATAGTCATGATCCATTGAAGCCTGAGAACGAGGGGGGTGACGAAGTAAGGACGCCTGATTGGTTTTCCTGCCCAGAGCTTTGTGGGGAGCAAAGAGACTTTAGTGAAAACAATATTCTTGTCCATCCTTCCGAGCACCTAGAAGAAGATGGCCACATGAACGCCGAGGAGCTTAAGCCGCCCGATCAAGAAGTGGAAATCGACAGAAATGTGATATCAGAAGAAGAAAAACAAGCGATACCAGAGTTTTTTGTGGGACGCCAGGCTAAAACACCTGAACGCTACCTGAAAATTAGAAACTACATTTTAGATCAGTGGTACGTATCAAATCCCTGTTGTTATATATCAGTAGGGTTATATGTGGAAAGCCAGTAGGGTTATATGTGGAAAGCCATTACCGTATATACTCAAGTATAAGTTGAGTTTTCCAACTGTTTTTTTAGGCTGAAAAAGCCCCCCTCAGCTTATACTCGAGTCAAAGTTATTTATTATTTTACTATTACTATTATTATTATTACATTTATTATTTTTCTCTATTAGTATATTAATTTTACTCTATTATTCGTATTACTATTGTTATTACATTTTATTATTTTACTCTATTATTTTTATTACATTTATTATTTTACTCTCTTTATTATTACATTTATTATTTTACTCTCTTTATTATTACATTTATTATTTTACTCTATTGTGATTATTACATTTATTATTTTATTTTTATATTTATATATGCATTCTAACTTTGGGTTCCAATTTTCAAAATATTGAAATATATGTTTTAGTTAATCCCACCGTATGGCTTGTAATTATTACCAATAGGAGATTTTCAGGAGCAGATTTGGTGTTTCAGTGAAAGTTAATTTACAGTAATTTAAAAATATATGTTTACCCTATCTTCCAAAAATGGTGACTTTCCCAGACCTACTCTATACTCTCAGATCATATAGAGTATGTAGTTGTGTCTGTAATTGTATTTGTCTGAATTGTGGACTAAATGTAACTTTTCAAACAGCATTGAATGGTTGATCTCAAATCATCACCTAAGTTTTGTCTTTTGCTTGTGGTTCTATTTTACGATAGGGAAAGAAGCAAACCAAAATACTTGAACAAAACTTCCGTGCGCCCAGGGTTGAAGAACTGTGGTGATGTCAACTGCATCGGACGCATACACACATACCTGGAATTGATAGGAGCAATTAATTTTGGATGTGGTATGACATACACTTTGAATTTTTGTTTTGAATATGTATCCTTAACAGGAATTCAAGGCTCTACCCCTTTGCTTCCATCCTGCCTTTCTTTCCATCCCTCCCCTCATCCATTTCCCCCTTTCTCTTCTTTGCTTCCCTTCTTTTTTTTCTTCACTCTTCCTTCCTTCCTTCCTTTCCTTTCCTCCTTTTTCTTTCTTTCTGTTCTTCCCTCCCTGCCTTCCTTCTCCCTCCCTCCTGATCAGGGATTGTTTTACCTCATGCGGGACTTTTATTTATTTATTTATTTCAAACATAGGCATAAATTTAAATTGATTTAAAATTAGTTTTAAAATAAAAAGTACATTAATGAAAAGTGCAATAATACTGGCTGTCTAGCCTTATGTAGAAACAAATTCAGCGAGCACAATACAGAAGCCTGTCCATAGTCCATTTTCCATAACATTATCATAATTACCATTGTCAATTATCTGTCAGCTATCCAAAGCTACCCAAAGGCCACGTTTTCAATTTCCTCTTGAAGGTGAGGAGGGATGTTGTTGACCTGATTTCACTGGGGAGCGAGTTCCACAGGCGGGGGGCCACCACCGAAAAGGCCTTGACCCTGCTCTTCCAACAAATATATATTTATCCCGATATATGTCCTGCCCTTTTGAATCTTTTGCCGTTACTCTTCCTGTGTGTGTTGAGACTAGGAGAGAGTTCAAAACAGTTTGGGATCCTTCTTTTTATTATTATTATTATTATTATTATTATTTATTTGACTTGTATACCGCTACTCCCAATTTGGCTCGGAGCGGTTTACAGCAGTAGATTAAAACAATACAATTAACTTTAAAATACAATAAAAACAAGAACAGACATAGTCCCGAGTTATTCACCCATCGAAAGCTTGTCAGAAAGGTTTTACAGGCTTTCCGAAAAGCAAGTAGGTCTTGGTTAGAAGGTACTCATAGTGTTGTTCATGTAGCTCTATAAATGCTCCTTCCATTTCTATGTTGATCTTGGAGACCACACAGCATATAAGAATGCATTGGAGAGGCTTTGATTAGTGACACTGTTAACTTTGATACTGTGCTAGAATTAGAAATAATGCCACAATAGAGTTGCCACTTGGTTGCTGCCACTAGGAGTTTTCACTTAAATAACCACATTGTTATAATTTTACAGAGCAGGCTGTCTATAACAGGCCACAGACCACGGACAAAATGCGCCCCAGAGAAGGCAAGGATGCTATTGACGCGTATCAGCTTGTGCAACGGCTTCAGTCTATGGTGAGATGAAACAGAACAGAAGACTCATTTTTCCCCTTCTTTGCAGCTCTTTGTATTTTGATGCTGCTTGCAGCACATGATCAACTTCATCACAATCTTTTTGTTACTGATAGATAACTTAACTTTTCATCTGAACATTAGGAAGAACTTCCTGACTGTGAGAGCTGTTCAGCAGTGGAACTCTCTGCCCTGGAGTGTGGTGGAGGCTCCTTCTTTGGAAGCTTTTAAACAGAGGCTGGATGGCCATCTGTCGGGGGTGATTTGAATGCAATATTCCTGCTTCTTGGCAGAATGGGGTTGGACTGGATGGCCCAGCAGGGTCATCCAACTCTTTGATTCTATGATTCTGGCCTTAATTCCCTTTGTATTGCAATTCCGCAATTACTACTGTGTTTACTCGTAGCTTCATAAGTCAAATATTGCCAAATGTTTAAAAAGCATTTCTACACTAAAAAAATCTGTGTGTTCTGATTAGTGAATGAAGAAAAATCAAATGATTGTTTATAATCTTTTTAAATACTGAAGCAAATATATTTATCTACAGGAAAAATTCATCCCTATTCCTACCAATTTTAGTCAAATTACTAATATGATTTTACTATACACTTTCAAGATCGGTTAATACTACCTATTGTATTGAAATGGAAAATCTGACTGTGCAGACTGTTCCAGATTGGTAGATTTTTATGTTGAATCCCTATCTTGTAAGTCATGAATTACATCTATAGTAATAGCCACTTGTAATGAGTTGCTGATATTGAGATTGTCATGAAGTTATATTTCAAAATAATTATAAGGAATGGGAATTTTTAAAGAAACTTTAAAGAAGGTGTTTTCAGCAGAATTTTTCTAGTTTTCTTCCCTTCTCAGATCACTTGGGGTTTTGTTATTTGTGAATCAAAATCAAGGTGACACTGTTATACATTAATAATAACAAAGAACTTTTTGAGGTTGCTGTGAGTTTTCCGGGCTGGTTGCTGCCTGACTTTGAAGCTGCAAGGCCATTCAATGCTAATCAAGGTGGCCAATTGCAACATTTACACCGGCCTCAAGCAGACAAGAGTTTTTTCTCCCATCCTGGACATTATTCCGCAGATAGATAAACTCCTCTTGCCCAGTTTCCAACAAATCTCACAACCTCTGAGGATTTATTCCGCTTTGGTTAGACCACATCTGGAATATTGTGTCCAATTCTGGGCACCACAATTCAAGAGAGATATTGACAAGCTGGAATGTGTCCAGAGGAGGGCGACTAAAATGATCAAGGGTCTGGAGAGCAAGCCCTATGAGGAGCGGCTTAAGGAGCTGGGCATGTTTAGCCTGAAGAAGAGAAGGCTGAGAGGAGACATGATGAGGGCCATGTATAAATATGTGAAAGGAAGCCACAGGGAGGAGGGAGCAAGCTTGTTTTCTGCTTCCCTGGAGACTAGGACGCGGAACAATGGCTTCAAACTACAAGAAAGGAGATTCCATCTGAACATGAGGAAGAACTTCCTGACTGTGAGAGCTGTTCAGCAGTGGAACTCTCTGCCTCCGGAGTGTGGTGGAGGCTCCTTCTTTGGAAGCTTTTAAACAGAGGCTGGATGGCCATCTGTCAGAGGTGCTTTGAATGCAATATTCCTGCTTCTTGGCAGGGGGTTGGACTGGATGGCCCATGAGGTCTCTTCCAACTCTATGATTCTATGATTTTATGCCTGCCATAGATGTGGGTGAAACATCAGGAGAGAATGCCTTTGGAACATGGCCATACAGCCTGAAAAACCCACAGCAACCCAATGATTCCACCTACAAAAGCCTTTCACAACACAACTTTTTGAGGACTTTGCAGAGGGTTACATATTCAAGTGTTGGGTTTTTAAAGTTCATTGGCAAGCTTTGTCTGGCTGTCCCTTCATTACTCTTGTTGAGACCAGGAAAATGCGTAAAGTGAATTTCACAAGCTTAGAATGTACTAAGAGAAAGGAGAAGGGAGCTGTCATCCCTGTCATCTATACACCCAATGAAATAGTGCATATAATTTTGTATAATGCTGCAAAAATACCATATATGTAGTTCACTTAAACCACAATTGGTTGCTTAAGGAATATTGACACTTGAGTCTAATCAATCCTGGTTCATTAATTGCCTTCATTCTACTAGTTATTATGAATGTGACTGTCCTGATCTGAATAGCCTCAGCACCATTTAATACACATGTTGGTGTCTTTCTTTTTGGTGTAGCGTACAAGGAGGAGGCGAGTCAGAGACCCCTGGGGAAATTGGTGTGATGCCAAAGATTTGGAAGGACAGACATTTGAGGTAACATTACTGAATATTTATTTATTTATTAGTTATTTACTGTATTTATATGCCACCTTTCTCAGCCCGAGGGCAACTCAAGGCGGTTTACACTCGGCACAGTTTGATGCCCCCCAACATATAAAATACAATTAAAAACAGCATATAAAATATAGTTTCATAAAAAGTCAATAAAATCATACATTCTTAACGTCTCCTTACCGAAATCACTATTCAATCACATCATCAGTCATTGCGTGGTCTATCATTGCCTGTTACATTGAATTTGCAAATGCCTGCTCAAAAGGCCAGGTTTTATCCTTTTTGCGAAATATTAAGAGGGAGGGGGCCGATCTAATGTCCCCAGGAAGGGTGTTCCACAGCCCAGGGGCCACCACTGAGAAGGCCCTGTCTCTCATCCCACCAAGCGCATCTGAAACGGAGGCGAGACCAAGAGCAGGGCCTCCTCAGACAATCTTAAAATCCTAGATGGTTCATAAGGGGAGATCTGTTTGGACAGGTAAGCTGGGCCAGAACTATTTAGGGTTTTATAGGCCAAAGCCAGTACTTTGAATTGTGCTCGGTAGCAAACTGTCAGCCAATGGAGCTGACACAACAGAGGAGTTGTGTGCTCCCTGAGGAGTTGTGTGCTCCCTGAATATGATAAAGATAAGTGGACCTTGACAAAAGGTTTTCTTTATATCAACCAGGGCACTTGAATAAGCTCCCAGAATCACTTCTAAAAAGTTGCAACTGTAGTAAAGTAAAGGTAAAGATTTCCCCTTGACATGTCCAGTCGTGTCCAACTCTGAGGGTTGGTGCTCATCTCCATTTCTAAGCCAAAGAGCTGGCATTGTCCATAGGCACCTCCAAGATCATGTGGCCAGCATGACTGCATGGAGCATTGTTACCTTCCTGCCAGAGCGGTACCTATTGATCTCACATTTGCATGTTTTGGAATTGCTAGGTTGGCTGAAGCTGAGGCTAACAGTGGGAACTAACCCCACTCCTCAGATTCAAATAGCTGACCTTTTGGTCAGGAAGTTCAGGACATTTAATCAACTACCAAGCTTGCAAACTTTGTGTTTTGTCTGTTTGTTTGTTTGTTTGTTTGTTTTGTTAAAAATGTAATGCAACTGTCTGGTTGTTCCTGACACGATAAATAAATAGCAGCTCAGCGGTTTAACCACCTGCACCACAGGGGGCTCTCACGCTATAGTAGGCCTTCCATATTCACTGGTGTTTGGGGTTCAGGATCCCAACCAAAGTGACAGTGGCAACGGCTACTACTACTACTATTATTATTTACTGTATTTGTATACTGCCTTTCTCAGCCAATCGGCGACTCAAGGCGGTTTCCAACAAAACAGTACACATAATATCATAAAACAAGTTAAAACATTAAAACAGTATAAAACAACAACAATAATAACAACACCATTAGTGTCTTCTTCTTATCAAGCATTGTCCAGTTCCATCATGAAGTCGTTCAATTTCCTACGTTGTTTACTCTGCATTTGGGAACGCTTGCTCAAACAACCATGTTTTAACTTGCCTCCGAAACTTTAGTAGGGAGGGAGCTGAAATATCCCTAGGGAGGGCGTTCCATAGCCGAGGAGCCACCACTGAGAAGGCCCTGTCTCTTGTCCCCACCAGACGTACTTGTGTCGAAGGGGGGACCGAGAGCAGAGCCTCCCCAGATGATCTCCGTGTCCTCGATGGTTCATAAGGGGAGATGCGTTCGGGCAGGTAATTTGGGCCAGAACCGTTTAGGGCTTTAAAGACCAAAGCCAGCACTTAGAATTGGGCCCAGTAGCAAACTGGCAGCCAGTGGAGCTGGAACAACAAGGGGGTTGTATGCTCCCTGAGGGCCGCTCCTGTTAGCAACCTGGCTGCCGTTTGTTGGACTAGTTGAAGCTTCCGGACCGTCTTCAAAGGCAACCCCACGTAGAGTGCATTGCAGTAGTCTATATGAGTTGTAATCAGAGAGTGGACTACCGTGGCCAAGTTGTTAGGCCACGCTCTGGTTACATCCCATAGAGACTATAACTAACTAGTCACTGTGTTCATGACAACAGAGCCCTTTTGCTTAAGCTCCTTGCTTTTAGTGAGCTTAAGCAGACTTATTTTTCTCTCAGTGTGCTCAGTTAGTTTTCCTAATCAAGTTGCTTCATTTTCAGCACCTTTCTGCTGAGGAACTAGCGAAAAGAAGAGAAGATGAGAAGTTTAAAGTGCCAAAAGCCACTAAAGGACAAAGACATACCAAAAGGTTTAGTTTTTTTTAATGTCTATAGTGTCTCAGCTTGCATTTATTTTTGCTTATTATCAACACTGGGGGTGATAAATCTTTGTTTAAAACTGAGTGTTCAGACAAGAAGTGAGATATTTTAAAACTTTCCTCATCCATAGCCAGGGGCCAACTTCAGGCCTCCCTCCAAGTGTTTTGGACTTCAACTCCCACAACTCCTAACAGCCTCAGGCCCCTTCCTTTTCCCCCTCAGCCGCTTAAGCGGCTGAGTGGGAAAAGAAAGGTCCTGAGGCTGTTAGGAGTTGTGGGAGTTGACGTCCAAAACACCTGGAGGGCCAAAGTTTGCCCATAACTGATATATAAGCTTGAATGAACTAGAATGGCATGTATTGGAATGGACTATAATAATATTGGAATTGATAACTTGAGTAGTGAAAAAAAACGGTGTGACTACGTGTTTGTAAATGAGTTTCCCTTCTGTTAGTTCTATATCTTCAGATACATTTTCTTTCATTTTATAGTTCCTTTGATCCCTTTCAGCTGATCCCTTGCTGTTCCTTCACAGAAGAGAAACCAGTAAGTATGATTTCAAAGATAAAACAAAAACACGCCTTTGTTTTACTTAAGCCAGCTTTTCCGTATTGTTTTTATCTTTTTAGGAGCCGTTCCAAGTGAGAGTCACTGCAGAGGCACTTCTGATTA